ATTTTCCATCCTGTGGAGATTTGGGGCATGCACACTCATGCCCAGTGTGGTGTGTTTATTGAGTCATCAGGGCCAGGATTTGGAAAGAGCAGTTGGCCATATGGGTATATATACATTTATATATTATATATTAAAATATATATAAGCAAAAATATATAATAATATATAATACATGTAATTATAATATATTTTTGCTTATATATATTATATATATATATTTTTTTATTCACAACAAAGTACATGTTTGCACATGAGACAGAGAGAGAGAAAGAGGAAGAGAGAGAGGAGCACCCTCCACAGTGTCTAGTCCTGCAGTCATTCCCTTCCTCCAGTCCATTCAGGCCTTGGACACTTGCACACCTGATGTGTTTCAGACTGATCAGGCTGGGGATTTGAACCATGGGATCTTGGGCTACATGTCACTGCTGTGCTAGGGAGCTGGCCCCGTATCACCTCTTCAATTGCCCTTGGCCATCTCCTGTCGACTGCACACCAGTACCCCAGATTCGTTATTCTAAAACTTGACTTTCTTGCTTTAGTTAACATGATCACGCTACTCAGATCCAGACCCTAAACCCCAATACGTCTCTACCCCAAATCTACAGGTGGTTCCTGGGACATATCAAATTCTCCTCTAAAGTCTCACGCTTCACTTTTCTTCCATTTTAAGTTCCAACACCTTGGCTCAGTTCTTTCCTATCTCACTCCTAAACTACAGTACTTATTTCTAGCGATCCTCTCGTCCCTGAACTCTTACCCTTTCTTATCCAACTTGCACATTCCTGTCAGCCTGGGGTCTCTGAGCAATGGCCTTTACGCCATTTAGGAATGTTTATCTAGGGCCAGTAGTTGGCAAAGAGGTTAAGGTGCTGGACCCCACGTGGCTGACGAATCCGAGGTTCGAGTTCCAGTCCCAGTAGCTTGAAAAACCAGCCAGGCACATGCGCGCATCTGCCCAAAATTCTGAGACAACAAAAGAAGGGACTGTAGCACGCTCATCCTCCCAAAGAGTGATTTCTCACTTTTCCTCTCTCACTGTCTCTCTTTCTATCTCTAGCAAGCACACATGCCCTATGGCAAAAATCCAAAAAAATTTAAAAATTAAAAAAAAAGAATGTTGGAACAAGCAGATGGCACAATGGTTATGTGGCTGGACTCCCACATAGTCCACCACGGTTCCAGTCCCGGACCCAGCAGCTTGAAACGCACGCCAGCTGCGTGTGTGTGCGTGTGTGTGTGCCCATGATCCCCGAGAGGAGACTGGAGAAGGGACTGCAGCATGGCCATCACCCACCGTTTCCCCCCAGGGGGCTGATTTCTTGCTTTTTGTCTCTCTGTCTCTCCAGCAAGCTCGTGTGCCCTACAGCAAAAATCTCTCACTAAAAAATAAAATAAAAATTTATCTAAATATAATTTGCTAAATTAATACCCTGTATTTATGTACTGAAAAAAATCGCACTATACCCCATAAATACGTACAACAATATCAGTTTTTAAAAAAGAATATTTACTTAATGAGCTACTGCAGGGTAGTAGAGCTTAGACACGAGTCCCTTCTGAGATATTCCAACAGTGAGGATTAAAAGCCTCTCCTTGTCTTCCCCAGAGATGTGTTTACATTCCTGAGTAAATGATAAGGCCTTTCTGGAGAGAGAATAGGGCAAGGCTCTGGCAGCCCAGAGAGGATGGGGGCCTGATTTGGAGGTTCTTCTTCTATGACGCACCCCACTGCATGGACAGGTACCATCTAGTCCTCACCATGCTGCTCTATGGGGCTTGGGCCTTGGGGAATCAACCACGCTAACGTGTAAAATCTCAGACTTATCACCACCAAATTAACTCTGTAAAGATCTGCTTTTTTTTTCTAAGTTTCTTTCTTTCATAAGTGAGAGAGACAGACAGATAGTACCCTCCAACAGGGTCTTGATCCACCCTCAGCCTCAGCAGATCATGCGCACACCCGTGCCCAGCACTTTCAGGGCGGTTTCTGACGTAAACCTGGTACTTTCCCCTGTGGGTCAGTCTCGCAATGACTGCATTACAGCTGCGTTGCCATTGCCGGACCCCTAAGATCTGCTTTGATCGATCCTCCTCATTCTTCCTACCTACACCCTGTGCTGCAGTCAATTTGGACTTAAGGACGTTCCCAAACATAGGCATCCACACCCTGCCTCATGCATCTGGCCATGTCTACTATGTTATACTCGGATTGAGGAAGAGGGAAAAATTCATGAAGTACCAATGCTCGTCATACCCACAGCACCCTTTAAGGAAAGCCGAGCTGAACCATTTGTTTCATTAGGTAGGTTGCTATAGTTCCTATCGGGTGCATAGCGAGAAGCCAGCCTGCCCTCCATTCTAGCCAGACGGGGCTAAACTCAAGACCAGTGCTGGAGCCCAAGGTGACCACACTCTGGTTGGACACTGGGAGGGAAAGTGCCTCTGGGAGTGCTTGGCTTGAAACTGTTCAACTGGAAAACTCTGAATTTGACAGCAGCCAGCAAGCCCACACAGCTCCTCCTATTTGAGAGGTAAAGGCTAAGGGGGAAGGGGGCAAGGAAGGGCAACCCAGGTTGGAACTCACTAGGAAACCAGTGAGTTGTGGATTTGGTTCTCCAGGAGGCTCTACATTCCAGTCTTAGCTCACCCCACAGTTTGAGTATTTCTTCAATAAACTCTCAACCAAACAACATGGACATGCATTTTTCTTGCAGGCCTCTACTGCTTTAATCAAGTGTCCTCCCCATTGACTCTGTGGTAAGTGTACAAAGATACTGATGGAAGCACTGTGCATAATAGCCTAATAAACATGTATCCATGGGGCCAGTAGGTAGCCTCGTGGTTAAGGTGCTGGACTCCCACATGGCCACCTGTGATCTGAGTCCCAGAACTGGCAGCTTGAGATTCACAGAGTACATGAGCATGCATGTCCAATATCCCAGGAGAAGAATGGAGGAGAGGGGATTGTGGCATGGCCATCTACCCTGGGGGATTATTTCTCACTTTCCCTCTCACTGTGCCTCCTTGTCTCTTGCCATCAAACACATGTGCCCGATGGCAAAAACCTAAGAAGAAAAGTATCCACTAATATAGGCTGGTGTGAAATGATCATATTTCATCACCATCCCAATTTCAGAGACATTAAAATATCAATCAAATGGCCACAGTGGTAATAAGATGTCATGGATTGTTCTAAGATGTGAAAACACGTGATCATAGACTTAAAGAACTAAAGTATGGTGTATTCAAACAGTGAAACACTTCCCTGCTGGCCCAGGTAAATGGCATAAGATGGGGCAGTGTGGGGGGATTGTTCTAGTCTATTCTCTGTGGGGTAATAACTAAGTACCACAGATAACTTATAAAGAACAGAGGCTTATTTAGCTCACAATTTCAGAAGGCCAACATCTAGGGGGTCACATCTAGTGAGGGTCTTCTTGCTGGTGGGGACTCTGCAGAGTCACAAGGTGGCACGGGCATCATATGGCAAGAACTTTCTGTGCCAATTTTTAAAAGCCACCAAAATTCAACTGGGGGGTTCCACCCTCATGACCTTATCTAATCACAATAACCTCCCAAAGATCTCACCTCTTAATGCCATAATTAGATTAAATTTCTACTCCCTTATTACCCTCATAATGGCTCACATGGATTTTTGGGGGTACGTTCAAACCATAGCAAGACATTGCCTTCAGAAGGGGGTATGCGGAAGGAAGCAGAGTAGTAACTTCACACACCAGACTACTCTTCAAGGAAACAGTGATGTGTGTCATATCACCTGTTACAATTTGCCCTCGAAAGACTTAAATCTTAAACTAGGTTGTGGATATATGGGCATACATTTTAGTACTTTCATGAAAATACTAAAATACTTTCATAAGCCTAAAATATGTTATAATAAGAACCAACAGGTGGTGTGGAGGTTAAGGCAGCTGGATCCTACATGGCCAACAGCACAGTTTGAGTCCCAGACCCAGTGGCTTGAAAATCACACTGGGTGTCTGGGTGTGCATACCCAAAATTCTAAGAGATGATATTGTGGTATGGCCATCCCCCTGTGGTTGATTTCTCACTTCCCTTTTTCTCTTTCTCTCTCTCTCTCTCTCTGGCAAGCACACACACCTATAGCAAAAAAAAAAAAATTAAAAAATTAAAAAAGTCACAGGTCAAGATTTAAGCAAGGTCAAACTTACAGAAAGATACGTTGTTATGTTTTTCTAAAATATCAGTGTGTAATTAAAGCCAGGCGTAGGCTGAATGCAGCCCTCTGTCTATTTACAAAGTGGGTTGCATTTTTGGGGACTTGTTTCCCAAAGCTTGGTGATACAGAGCAAGCTTTGGAGCCAGACTAAACTAACTCTGAGGCATGCCAGCTGAGACGCTGGAGAATCAACTTTTCAAGGCCACCTGTTTTCACACTTCTGTAAAATGGGGACAGAAAGAACTAATTTATGAGACAGTGTAAAGGTCGGAAATTTAAAACACTGTACTGTGACTGGCACACAGCAGACACCCCAAAAATTGTGATTATTAAGATACAGAGCGCGTTTTGTCTGTCTTGGTACAGGCCTTGGATTCCTGAGTAGGAGCCTTTCAAAAGCGATCTCAACTATTTTCAGCTCAACACATTTGCGCACGCTACAAAGAAAAGGAAGTCAAGGTTCTCGCTTTTGAGTAGCTCGCTGTCAAATTAACATTCCACGTACGATGTTCGATGTTCGGACTTTTCACTTTAAGTTTGGTAGAGAAATCGGCAGCACTAAGGGGATAACGCTGTTCAAGGACTTGGGTATAGAACTCCGAGTGCATCACCTGGGCAGAGGCCATGTGCACAGCGCGGCCCCCAGGTACCTCTCGGGGGCCCCCTCAGATGACGCGTCCCGGGGGCTGGGACGGCCACCTCGCAGCAGGAAGCTGCCGGATCCCTCACCCAAGTCCTCTGGAGGACATTCTCTGGGATGGCAAGGGAAGAGGGCGGCCTGTGGCGACGGGGCACTTACCAGCACGAAGTGCACCAGGGCGTCGTAGCAGAGCCAGGCGAGCACCCCGCGGTCCGCCGCCCCGCGCCCGCGGCCCAGGCGCAG